TGAGTTTGTCCTCACGAAGAGCTAGCGTGACTCTCCATATATAAACAGGTGTTTGTGCTTGAGTGATGTGACCATACGTGTGTGTGTGTGTGTGTGTGTCTGCCCTGCTCTGGCACGGTGCCTAGCTCTAATCTGCTTTCTCAGTTGTTAGTCTTTCTCGGTATTATCACCAACGACACGCATCAGGGCCCAGGCACCAGGGCCCAGGCACCAGGGCACCAGGGCCCAGGCACCAGGGCCCAGGGCCCAGACAGGTTAGGAAAACAGAGAAAGCACTGAACTGTGTTAGGGAGTACTTGAAGAGCAGAAAACAAGTAGTGACATCCAGAGAGAAAGCTTGAGGCTGGCGGGATGTAACAAGTGTGGGGGTCACACAAGGCTAGGTCCTGTTACTGTTGCTGTTCGTAATGTATATGAACGGCCATCCCGAGGGAGTGAGCTCGTACATGGCAATGTTTGCAGATGAGTAACTCATCTGCAAACTGAGTAACTCATCATTTTTGTGTTACTTTTGTGTTACTGTTACGCAAAAACAGAGGAGGACTGCAGGAAGTTACATGAGGAACTTGGCAAACTTCAGGAGTGGTCAAACAAATTATTTATAGAATTCAATCCCCCCCAAAAATTTAAGGTAATGAGGCCGTAAGAGGGAGAGAGGAGACTATCTTCTTGAGATATATTTTGAGATAATTTCAGGGCTAAGCGTCCCCTCGGCCCGGTCCTCGACAAGGCCTCCTTTTTGTTACACATCCCCAAGAAGCAGTCCGTAGCAGTTGTCTAACTCCCAGGTACCTATTTTCTGCTAGGTAAACAGAGGCATCAGGGTGAAAGAAACTCTGTTCATTTGTTTCCGCCTCCACCGGGGACCGAACCCGGAACCTCAGCATTACGAATCCGAAGGTAGGCGATGAGTCACAATAACGTGGCTAAAGTATGTTGACCAGACCACATACTAGAAGGTGATGGGACGACGACCTTTCAGTCCGTCCTGGACCATTCTCAAGTCGACGAAACGTCGTCGTCCCTTCACCTTCTAGTGTGTGGTCTGATCAACACGAATCCGAAGCGCTGTTCACTCAGCTGTCAGGCTCCCGCAGATAACTAAAAAGCACATCTGTACGATAAAGGGAAGGCAGCTACAGGAATCGGAAAGACAGGAAGATATGGGAGTGGATACAGTTCCAACTCTCACACCGGGGACACACATAAACAGGATAGCATCAGCGGCATATGACACGCTGGCAAATATAAGAACATGCTTTACAAACAAAAAACAGGACTCCTTCAAGGCAATACACAACATATGCCAGACCAATAATGGAATATGCAGCACTGACACGCAGGAATCTGCACCTTGTGGAGCATAAAACCAAAACTGAATAAGCACAAAAATCTGAAACAAAATTGGTGCCAGAGCTAAGAGGGTTAAACTACAAAGACAGGCTAATGTGACTCATTCTCACAAACCTAGAGGATAGAAGGAACACAGGGAATATGATCACAACATATAAAATACTAAGGGGAATGGACAATGACAGCCTCTTCAAATTAAGAGAACGCAGGGACAAGAAGACACAGGTAGAAGCTGGGAACGTCACGACGACGTACACAATCAGATAAACGTCTCGCAAACCCCCCAAAAAATATATATATAAAACCTTTCGCTGCTCTCAAAAAGCTATTTTTCTCGATAATAATTGGGATATTTTTCTCAATAAAGCCAGAGCCCTGATAAGCGGGGAGCTTGTCTTTGTGGGATAACACATAATGGCCAACTCTCTCGACGGATTATTGGATAACACAAAAATATGATATCGGAAAAAACTAAAAAGAGGATTGTTTCAGCGCGGCATCGGTTAAAGAAGACAAGATATAATGGAACACCGGATAAGAGGCGAGCAACTCTTACTACTGAGTATACACCGTCGTTACTGTGTATACACTGTGACTACTGAATATACACCGTGACTAATGAGTATTCACCAAGGTTACTGAGTATATAACGTGGCTACTGAATATACACCGTGACTAATGAGTATTCACCAAGGTTACTGAGTATATAACGTGGCTACTGAATATACACAGTGGCTACACTGTAGAGGGCAAAGGCCTATGAAACACAGGTTCATGTTGAATGTTGCAATATACAACTGTCAATTTTCCTTTATATAGTTCACGATATATATATATATATATATATATATATATATATATATATATATATATATATATATATATATATATATATATATATACAAAATTTACTTTTTATATCTCGTTTATCCGAAATTGTTTCATTGTGAACAAAATGTGTTTATTGTCATTAATCACCAATTACGAGTAATTATTAATGGGACCACTTAATTACCAGTATACCAGACCGGTAATTAAGTCGATATATGGAGAAGGGAGGGGAAATTATCAGGGGGCAAGTGCCAAGCCATTAGGGGATTATATTGCACTTGGAAAGGGTTAGGATAAGGATGTGGGATGGCATCTATACATGGATAATGTAACTCTGGCGTAATAAGACGTGCAGATAACCCTGGGGGACATGTCCACCTGGTCCTGGGGGGCATGTCCGCCTGGTCCTGGGGGGCATGTCCACCTGGTCCTGGGGGGCATGTCCACCTGGTCCTGGGGGCATGTCCACCTGGTCCTGGGGGACATGTCCACCTGGTCCTGGGGGACATGTCCACCTGGTCCTGGGGGGCATGTCCACCTGGTCCTGGGGGCATGTCCACCTGGTCCTGGGGGGCATGTCCACCTGGTCCTGGGGGCATGTCCACCTGGTCCTGGGGGGCATGTCCACCTGGTCCTGGGGGACATGTCCACCTGGTCCTGGGGGCATGACCACCTGGTCCTGGGGGGCATGTCCACCTGGTCCTGGGGGGCATGTCCACCTGGTCCTGGGGGGCATGTCCACCTGGTCCTGGGGGGATGTCCACCTGGTCCTGGGGGGATGTCCACCTGGTCCTGGGAGACATGTCCACCTGGTCCTTAGGGACATGTCCACCTGGTCTCTAGGGGGACACACCCATTCACCCGTCCTGCTGAACCCGGGCTCACGGCGCCTCAACCAACTCCTCCAGCAGTTCATCAGTTTAAAACAACTTTAAAATATTTAAATAAGCTGCCCTCCTCACTGAGCACCTGTCAGGTCTCAGTGCCAAAGGAGGACAAAATATGTCAGTTTTGGGAGGCAGCACGGAGCCTCCCGTACCTCAAGTGCTACTAACTACAGGCCAGATTCACGAAGCAGTTACGCAAGTACTTACGAACGTGTACATCTTTCCTCAATCTTTGACGGCTTTGGTTACATTTATTAAACAGTTTACAAGCATGAAAACTTCCCAATCAACTGTTGTTATTGTTATAAACAGCCTCCTGGTGCTTCGGAGCTCATTAACTGTTTAATAATTGTAAACAAAGCCGCCAGAGATTGAGAAAAAATTTACACGTTCGTAAGTGCTTGCGTAACTGCTTCGTGAATCTGACCCCCTGGGCCACATTCAGTCTCCCTCCACCCCTAGAATACTTCAAGCTTTTACTCAACAACTTACGAAACCAATGCATCTTTCTTTAATCATATTTACACATTTTAAACAGTTTACACGCTCCAAAGCTTCACAACCCAAGGTTATTATTGTTATAAACAACCTCGAATAGTGCTTTAGCCGTCATGAACTGTGTTAGAGATGTAAACAAAGTGGTCAAGATTGAGGAAAGATGTAAGGGTTTCGTCAGTAGTTGTGTAAAAGCTTGATGAAACCTGGTCCTGATGAGCTTCAAGTTGTTAAGTTCTAAAGGTCATAGGTTCCAGTTGGTGTTCACATTTTTAACATAACTTTGCTCTGATTCCTGTTATTAGGAAAATAAACATCAACCTAAGTTCATGTTCTCACTCAGGGAATTGTTGGCGGTGAGAAAGTTATTCATATTAAAGAACAGTTTGAAAGAGTTCTTTAATTATTCAAATTAAAGAACAGGTGGAAAGAGTTCTTTGATTATTCAAATTTTAGAACAGTTTGAAAGAGTTCTTTAATTATTCGATTTAAAGAACACTTTGAAAGCGTTCTTTAATTCTTCAAATTTAAGAACAGTTTGAAAGAGTTCTTTAATTCTTCAAATTTTAGAACAGTTTGAAAGAGTTCTTTAATTATTCAATTTAAAGAACACTTTGAAAGCGTTCTTTAATTCTTCAAATTTAAGAACAGTTTGAAAGAGTTCTTTAATTCTTCAAATTAAAGAATAGTTTGAAAGTTCTTTAATTCTTCAAATTTAAGAACAGTTTGAAAGAGTTCTTTAATTCTTCAAATTAAAGAACAGTTTGAAAGAGTTCTTTAATTCTTCAAATTAAAGAACAGTTTGAAAGAGTTCTTTAATTCTTCAAATTCAAGGAGCTCTTTTTCACTGAATTGAACGAAACATCACGAGCTTTCAATTATTAAAAAAATCTTCGATGACAAACTTTACCATATAGTAAAGCTTCCTTTACATATATTTCATTTACATATAAAGTTTACATATATTTCCTATTATATGTAAATCATCACACAAAGGAAATAAACTTATTGCTATCCCTGTTTACGAGGCTAAGTTACTGAGGCGAATAAAAACCTGAGGAGAAGTGGCTAGTAGAATTTAAACCTGACAAATGCAAGGTTATGAAGATAGGCGTCAGAGCAAGAAAACTTCAAAAGCAGTAGAGGATGAAGGGAAGGCTACTTCCAACTTCTGAAAAAAAGAGAATGACTTTGGAGTGGACAACATTTGGAGATCTAACACCAGAGACACACATCAGCAGACTAACGAAGGCTGCGTTTGTAACACTGGCAAAACTCCGGTTATCCTTCAAGATAACTGGACTAAAAACTGATATCCTTAGTTAAGGCAGCTGTTGTAAGAGGTTGACTGTCTACACCTGACTACACATGTCAGTGTAGTGTTTGTCAGTGTTATAGACTGTGTAATTGGTATGAGGAAAGTCTTCATGACAGTGGTGAAAGTCCACCTGGTCTTTATGACAGTGGTGAAAGTCCACCTGGTCTTTATGACAGTGGTGAAAGTCCACCTGGTCTTTATGACAGTGGTGAAAGTCCAGCTGGTCTTTATGACAGTGGTGAAAGTCCAGCTGGTCTTTATGACAGTGGTGAAAGTCCAGCTGGTCTTTATGACAGTGGTGAAAGTCCACCTGGTCTTTATGACAGTGGTGAAAGTCCACCTGGTCTTTATGACAGTGGTGAAAGTCCACCTGGTCTTTATGACAGTGGCGAAAGTCCACCTGATCTTTATGACAGTGGTGAAAGTCCACCTGGTCTTTATGACAGTGGTGAAAGTCCAGCTGGTCTTTATGACAGTGGTGAAAGTCCACCTGGTCTTTATGACAGTGGTGAAAGTCCAGCTGGTCTTTATGACAGTGGTGAAAGTCCACCTGGTCTTTATGACAGTGGTGAAAGTCCAGCTGGTCTTTATGACAGTGGTGAAAGTCCAGCTGATCTTTATGACAGTGGTGAAAGTCCACCTGGTCTTTATGACAGTGGTGAAAGTCCACCTGGTCTTTATGACAGTGGTGAAAGTCCTGCTGGTCTTTATGACAGTGGTGAAAGTCCAGCTGGTCTTTATGACAGTGGTGAAAGTCCACCTGGTCTTTATGACAGTGGTGAAAGTCCACCTGGTCTTTATGACAGTGGCGAAAGTCCAGCTGGTCTTTATGACAGTGGTGAAAGTCCACCTGGTCTTTATGACAGTGGTGAAAGTCCACCTGGTCTTTATGACAGTGGTGAAAGTCCACCTGGTCTTTATGACAGTGGCGAAAGTCCAGCTGGTCTTTATGACAGTGGCGAAAGTCCAGCTGGTCTTTATGACAGTGGTGAAAGTCCAGCTGGTCTTTATGACAGTGGTGAAAGTCCAGCTGGTCTTTATGACAGTGGTGAAAGTCCACCTGGTCTTTATGACAGTGGTGAAAGTCCACCTGGTCTTTATGACAGTGGTGAAAGTCCACCTGGTCTTTATGACAGTGGTGAAAGTCCACCTGGTCTTTATGACAGTGGTGAAAGTCCACCTGGTCTTTATGACAGTGGTGAAAGTCCACCTGGTCTTTATGACAGTGGTGAAAGTCCAGCTGGTCTTTATGACAGTGGTGAAAGTCCAGCTGGTCTTTATGACAGTGGTGAAAGTCCACCTGGTCTTTATGACAGTGGTGAAAGTCCAGCTGGTCTTTATGACAGTGGTGAAAGTCCAGCTGGTCTTTATGACAGTGGTGAAAGTCCACCTGGTCTTTATGAGAGTGGTGAAAGTCCACCTGGTCTTTATGACAGTGGTGAAAGTCCAGCTGGTCTTTATGACAGTGGTGAAAGTCCACCTGGTCTTTATGACAGTGGTGAAAGTCCACCTGGTCTTTATGAGAGTGGTGAAAGTCCACCTGGTCTTTATGACAGTGGTGAAAGTCCAGCTGGTCTTTATGACAGTGGTGAAAGTCCAGCTGGTCTTTATGACAGTGGTGAAAGTCCAGCTGGTCTTTATGACAGTGGTGAAAGTCTGTCACCACTGTGTTTAGAGGCAAGGGGCCCAGCCCGTCAGCCCTTTTAAGTCTTCCCCGCCAGCCACTTGGGCTGGACGGTAGAGCGACGGTCTCGCTTCATGCAGGTCGGCGTTCAATCCCCGACCGTCCAAGGGGTTGGGCACCATTCCTTCCCCCTGTCCCATCCCAAATCCTTATCCTGGCCCCTTCCCAGTGCTATGTAATCGTAATGGCTTGGCGCTTTCCCTGATAATTTCCTCCCTCGCTTTAAGTCAAGTAGTGTTTAATACATTAGGCAGTGACACTCAGTTATAAATGAGTGAAAGTGTGAGTAAAATAAGAGTAAGAGTGAGTAAAAAAGTGAGAAAATAAATGAGTAATACTGTGATTAACTCAGTGAAGAATTCCTAGTAAATGTATCATTTGCTAGAATGCTATATGGTGACAATTTGGGTTTGGCTGAAAGGGATGATAGTTGCCCAGTAAGAATTAAAGCCTGTCTCAATTATAGTCAGTATTGCGTATTTAGTGTTGTGGTTTCTATTGCCAAACGTTCCGCTTCCCTAGAACTCATTTCCTAGAAATTTGCAATCACCTTAAATATTTCATTTGCTAATTTAATAAATTTTCTGCACCTGTTCCCCTACAAACACCTGATGTAAACTTTTAACAAGTGTTACGATCCTTCCCAAACCTCTAGGAATTCAGGTCAATTCTTATAGTAAGTGAAAAGGAAAAAAAACGTTTCTTATATAATTTGTTTCTCAACATAGACTGAGGTGAGGGCGTTGGGCCAGTTGTGTGGAGGTGATTAGAAGTATCTGGCAAATAAAAAGCCAGCTTATAACAACACTCAAGGAAGATAGCGTCTCCCTGAAGATATGATAACCAAACTACACATCAGAAGAAACGACGACGTTTCGGTCCGTTCTGGACCGTTATCACGCACCACTTGACCCAAACGGTGCCGTTTATCCAGCTTCTGATGTGAGGTATCGGCATCACATATTTTCCTGTAGAATTTTAGTGTCCTTCTCACCGAACTTAATTAAGTTCGTCCTTCTCAACCTGACTACTTTCTCCAGCACTTTACACTTGTCAGTGACACTGGTGGGTGATGGCTGATGGTGGGTGATAACGGGTGATGAGTAGTGAGTGAGGCGTGGCAGATGAGGGGTGGTGGGTGATGGATGAAGGGAGAATGTGGTAATGAGAGGTGCAGCTCAAGCGTAACTGGCTGGCTGCCAGGTTAAGGGTATTCCTGTCCTTAGTTGCCTCTCACACCAACTTTATCACCCTCCATCCCTCTCTCCCTCCATCCCTCTCTCCCTCCATCCATCTCTCCCTCCATCCCTCTCTCCCTCCATCCCTCTCTCCCTCCATCCCTCTTTCCCTCCCTCCTTGTGGAGATATGTGTCTCAATCTGTACCCGCTTTAGGGACCCAGCAGAAGAGAGGGAATTTTCAGGGGGAAAGCACCAAGCTACTACGACTACATACCACATGGAAGGCGTCAGGATAAGGATTTGAGATGGGACGGGGGGACGGAATGGTGGCCAACCAATTGGACGGTCGGGAAGTGAACACCGACCTGCATGACGCGAGGCCGTCGCTCTACCGTCCAACCCAAGTGATTAGGCAGCAGCAAAAGGGAGAATATGATCAAGTGGGTTATGCCATTAACAAGAGGCGTATTATAAGGATGTGCAACTGTGGGAGCAGGTCGAAACCCACAACAATGGGTAGAAGCATGAGAAATTTCGTTTTATAAGAGATGTAGGGAAGTATTGGTTTTGAAATAGGGTTGTTGATGAGTGAAATGGGCTGCCAGCTAGCTTACACTATTGACCCAAACAGTTTAACAGGATGCTGGAATGGATTTGATATGTACTGTACTTGGGGGAAAGAGCGGTGGATTTAATGAAGACCCGCCTAGTGAGGTCCACCAGGCCGGCTGCGGTGCTTCCTAATTCTCATATTCTTAAATGTTGTTCCTATGCCACTGTGGTTTATATTTAAATGGTTTGTTGTGTAGTGAGAGAACACAAGAAGCTTCTTTGTGGCCCGGGAAGGTTGTTGTTGTTGTTAAAGATTCGCTACCTGGAACAAAAAATTCCAAGTAGCACGGGCTATGGTGAGCCCGTAGTGGATGATTAGCCCGGGGAGGTGTTGACGACGGTGGTGTAGCAGTCCGCCGCTGGCACTCTCCTGGATGCTTTTGTTTGGCACACTGGTGCCGTGGTAGGCCTCTTTTTTGGCTCTCCTCGAGTACGGGTTCGCTTCCCTCACCCACCAGATAGATAATTTGTTTTATCAGGTGTTATATGCACACACACACACACTTGTATCGTGGCCTCCCCACCCTCAAGGTCGAACTACAGACCCTCCACAGGATACAACCCTACGGCAGTTGCCTAACTCATGGGGTACCTATTTACTGCTAGGTGAACAGAGGCATTAGGTGAAACGGGATCCTCAGCTGTGCCCCGAGAACGCATCTACATCCACTGCTGCTGTAGCTGGTAACATCACCAAGTGTGAGAGAGTAAGAGTCGACAGGTGTCCGCTCACAACACCCTCACTACTCGACACACCTTTGAACAACAGTCAGGCTCAGAAGCGGAGAGTTTTGTAGTATGTTTTGCAGATATCACCAACGAGATATTGGTGATATCGAGGCCTCTTCCCACACGAGGTCTCCCCTCCCACACGAGGTCTCCCCTCCCACACGAGGCCTCTCCCTCCCACACGAGGCCACGGCTCGGCGGGAGGGGAGGCCCAAGTCACCAAAATGACCACTACACCACCAGACTCTTGACGTCATTGGCGCAATCCCGTGTTATTTACGATGATCGCTCGTCACGGTAGCCAGGCCCTACCCTGTCTGTCCTCTCTCTCTCTCTCTCTCTCTCTCTCTCTCTCTCTCTCTCTCTCTCTCTCTCTCTCTCTCTCTCTCTCTCTCTCTCTCTCTCCTATTATTCTCCACATTGCTTCTCACCAGCTTCGTCTATCGTGTCAACTTGGGTGAAGTAGGTCGAGCTCCGCCGCCTGAGACCAGAAGCCATGAACCTACAGTCTCCGTGGTGTAGTGGTAAGACACTCGCCTGGCGTTCCGCGAGCGCTATGTCATGGGTTCGTATCCTGGCCGGGGAGGATTTACTGGGCGCAATTCCTTAACTGTAGCCTCTGTTTAACGCAACAGTAAAATGTGTACTTGGATGAAAAAACGATTCTTCGCGGCGGGGATCGTATTCCAGGGACCTGCCCGAAACGCTACACGTACTAGTGGCTGTACAAGAATGTAACAACTCTTGTATATATCTCCAAAAACAAAAAAAACCAGGTGCGGTGACCTCGTCTGTCCACCCTACCCACCTCGACCGTCGTCCACCTCACGACTTGCCGCTCTGTCCATCGCCTGTTGTGCCTTCTGTCTGTCCGTCCGTTTACCCATCGACCCGTCCATCCGCCACGTTACCCCTGTACCCTGGCTGTCCGTTCATCTTCCCAGTAATGTATAAAAAGATCTTCCAGAAGGCCTTTCAGACCCGTTAAAGGATCGTCATTATTGGCATGCGTCTCCTGCGTGTACTTCCCCAGCCGGTGCCTGCCTCCTCCCGGTGGCTCCACGTCTATGACGCTACTTGGTAACTGCTGCCTCAGATCTCAAACCTAATTTCAAAGCGAAGGGTTGCTGGTTTACGCTATAAATTTAATCCTAACCCAACTTAATCCCATTATTTCATTGTGTAACTTTTGGTTTTATATTTTATATATATATATATATATATATATATATATATACGTATACAACTTTTAGACACCCAAACCCACCAGGAGACTTGAACCCTGGCCATCAAGATGGCAGGTACGCACTTAATCCACTACACCATACTCAGAGCTTTAAAAGAGGTGGGAGCTCCGGGGTATTTGAACCCACAGATACCCCCCCCCCCTTTTCCCAAGGCTTATATAACGTCGAAGCTAATATAAGGTCCTGGCTTATATAACGTCGAAGCTAATATAAGGTCCTGGCTTTCAGAACGTCAGAGCTAATATAAGGTCCTGGCTTTCAGAACGTCAGAGCTAATATATGATTTCTGATTTCTGATTTTGTTCGAACACTTCCGGAACAAGTGCTTCGCTGACGACTTTTGTTCGAACCACAACGCTGTAATTCTTCACCCACGAGCTACAAATACAAATAATCGCCAACAGAACCTAAACACCTAACCTAACCTGTGCCTATATATGCATAATATGCTAATATATTATAATATTAATTTATATTTGAGAAAATTCCCGTTTTGAATGAACAGCATGTAACAGTTTATGACTATATCTGTGGGGTCGACCGCTAGATGGAATGAACTTGGGTCGAGGACGGGTTTTTTCTTACAACTAGCTTTTATATCACAGTATAACAGTTTGTTGAGTAGCAGTTTACCCTGGGAGAGTACTTCATGGTGAGTGTACTAGCAGTTTACTCTGTAGAGCATTGATGCACAATTGCAGCCTTTAAATAAGGTAGACTGTGATCTTGATAGCCTGATAAGTTACCAGGTTTACAGTTTACCTTGGTAGTATATAGTATATATGACATTAGTGGTCTCACTGTTTATTTATAAGTTTATTGTGAGGGGTTGAGATCTAGCTCCTCAGGCCCCGCTTCCTACCCGTCTGTAACAGTCCGTATAGGAGGATGAAGGAGAATATACGACGCCCTGAAGGAGTATAACGCAATTATACTCCTTCAGGGCAGGAATATAACCTATCCTGGAGCTCAATTGGTGGAAACCAGGGAGGCCTAGTGGGCGGAGCTAATCCTGGCACTGATTGGCTAGACCAAGGCCCTAGAGCCTGACTTGAAATCATTGGCTCTAGACTTGGAGAGGCGGGGTTTATTGGGTCTAGGAAACTAGTTGTGGGTGGAGCTGTCCTCCTCTTGTAAGCTTGTGAGTAAACTGTGAGTTAGTGTGTCTTGAGAGGTGACGTGGACAGGTCCAGGTGACCTGGACAGGTCCAGGGGACCTGGGGGAAGCTGTCAACATCTGTGGCTGGTAATTGTA